GGGTCCCGCTGGGGTGCCTGGCCAGCCTGGGTGAGGGGCTGATGGGTGTTTGCAGGCTGGTCACACCCCCTTCAGGGTGGGGGTCCCCACTGTGGTGCCTGGCCAGCCTGGGTGAGGGGCTGAGGGCCGTTTTCAGGCTGGCCAAGCCCCCCCAGCGACGGAAGCTCCCAGCCTTTCCTTTTTTTTCTTTTTTTATTCTGGGATTTATTTACCTTCTATAATTGAAACTTTATAGCCTTGAGAGGAGCTCAGAGCCGACCAGGGTGGGCGAGAGGGAACACTCCTGCTTGCTCCAGCTCCGTGGCCACGGCTGGCTGAAAGCAGGTATCTGGGGTTTATTTACTTTCTATAATTGAAACTTTGTTGCTTTGAGTGGAGCTCAGAGCCGCCACGGCAGCTGGGAAGCTTGGCGTCTTCCATCATTAGGGCAACCAAGCCTCCTGCTTGCTCCAGCTCGTGGCTGTCATCCGCCATCTTGGCTGGGTTAATTTGCATATAGTCGCTCTGATTGGCTGGTGGGTGTGGCTTAAGGCGTAGCGAAGGTACGGTCAATTTGCATGTTTGTCTTAGTGTAGACTAGAGGCCCGGTGCACGGATTCATGCACTGGTGGGGTCCCTCGGCCTGGCCTATGGGGATCGGGGCCAAAAATGGCTCTCCAACATCCCCTGAGGCAGTGGTCGGCAACCCGCGGCTCGCGAGCCACATGCGGCTCTTTGGCCCCTTGAGTGTGGCTCTTCCACAAAATATCACGCAGGCACGCACGTATAGCGTGATTGAAACTTCGTGGCCCATGCGCATAAGTCGGTTTTCGGCCTGGGCGAATCTATTTTGAAGAAGTGGTGTTAGAAGAAGTGGGGGTACGTTCGCTGAGGTCGACCCCTCAGATTGAGGATGTTTTTAGCAAAGGCCAGCTTAGGAGTACCCTAATTAAGTTAATAACAATGTACCTACCTATATAGTTAAGTTTAAAAAATTTGGCTCTTAAAAGAAATTTCAATCGTTGTACTGTTGATATTTGGCTCTGTTGACTAATGAGTTTGCCGACCACTGCCCTGAGGGATCCTGGATTGCGAGAGGGCAGTTCTTGTGTGACACACCCCAGAATCGGGCTCCCTCCTCTCTGGTTCCAGGTGCGTCACCTAAGAACTGCAGCTGCCAAGTCACCACAGCTCAGCAGCTCCTGCATTAAGTGTCTGCCCCCTGGTGGTCAGTGCGTGCCATAGCTACTGGTTGGAATGTCTGCCCCCTGGTGGTCACTATGCATCATAGCTACCATTCGGACGGTTGCTTAGGCTTTTACATATATAGATATGCATTTGCAAAGTGTAAGAGACGAAAATCTTTTGTAGGTCATAGAAATACAGTTATCATTTGTGACTTAATGGTTACTGGTAATTCTAACAAACACAATGTTTTAAAAATCCAGCTCTAATAACTTAAACTTGCTTTATTACTGGAAAAATGTTATGGTTCATTTCTGTCATACAGACAACACACTTTAATGCAAGCTAGAAACTGTAGGAAACAATAAAGTTTAGTGTGATTAAGGTCTGAAAATATTTATGGAGCAGTTGCTGTATGTCAGGCACTATGCTAAAGGTCTTTTTTACATTACCTCATTCAATTCTAACAGCAACACATTGAGGCTCAAAGAAGTAAAATGACTTATCCAGGTCACAGAACTGGAAAGTACAAGTCTTCAGGACCTATGATCTATGACTGTACCCTGCACACTAACTCTTGGGTTGTAATGTTGTCATGATTCTCCATGTTAATATCCATTTATATACTACTTCAAAAATACTTAAAATATGGTAAGTGTCTGATCTGCAGATTTCAGACAGAAAGGTATCCCAAAGGGCTACAGCGAAAACTAACTAGGTGAGCTATATATTTAGAGCATGAAGTTTCCTCATATTTAACTAAATAAGGAGCTGCTAGTCATATCTTTCAATTTCTCAAGGTAAAGAAAGAAAGTGTTAAGGCATAAACTGATATTTTTGAGAGCTACCATTTAGGTTGGGTTTTACAAACATATTGATCTTTTCAAAGGGAGAAAGAAGTCAGTTGTATGGGGGGAGAAACTGAATTCTGTGTTGGGACTTGGAATTGCAATAGCTACTCTAAAGTAACTGAAACCATCGAATTTGAACTCATCTGAATTTTAACTTCAAATTCTGGAGTTAGGTTACTTTGATGAGTTACTCTATACTTTTGCTATCACCATTTTCTTCTTATTCCTAACCCACTCCAATCTGGCTTCTAGGTCTTTCACTCCATGGAAATAGCACTTACTAAAGTGACCAATGATGTCTAAGGTATGATGTTTAAATCAACTTTTTTGCCTTCCTAACATTAAACACAGTTGACCATTTCTTCTACTATGGACTTAACTGTGTATCTCCCATGTTTACATGTTGAAGCCCTAACTCCCTATATGAAAAGATACAGGGCCTTTAGGAGGTATTTAAGGTGAACTGAGATCAGAGGGTGGGTCACTAATCTGATGGTATTGGTGTATCTTTAAGTTGAGGATACACCAAAAAACAGGAAGGTGGTCATCTGCAAGCCAGGATGAGAGCTCTTATAGAAAAGGAACCCTTCAGACCTTGATCTTAGATTTTCTAGCCTCCTGAACTGTGAGAAAATAAATTTCCATTGTTTGCCACACAATCAATGGTTTTATTTATTAATTAATTTACTGTTATTTTTTTATGGCACCTCAAGCAGAGTAAGACAACCTCTTTCTTGAAACATTTTTTTTTTTTTTTTTGGCTTTTGAGACAAAACACAATATTGGCTCTCCTCTGCCTCTTCTTTCTACTGCATGTCCTGCTCTCCCTGGCCAATGAATGTTGAAATTTCTCAAGGCTGAGTCTATCTAGGCTTTCTTTTCTCCTTATCCTATAATCTCTTAGGGGTTCTCCTCCTAATCAGTTTCAATCAGCGATGATATCCCAGATGTCTCCGCTCCACCACCCGATGCAATACTTCTTCAGAAAGCATTTTTCTGAGTACTCAACCTAAAGAGCTCCTCCGAGAAATTCCTTAAATCTTCTGATTTCATTACCAGAATTTACCACTGTCTTGTGTTTTCTATTTTATTTTTCCTCCCACTAAAATACAAACTTGGTGAAAGTAAAGATGCTTGCTGGTCATACTATTTTCAGCACCTAGCATATAGAAACTGGATAAATATTTATTTATTTATTTTTATTTTTTAAAAAATATATTTTATTGATATTTTACAGAGAGGAAGGGAGAGGGATAGAGATTTAGAAACATCGATGAGAGAGAAACATTGATCAGCTGCCTCCTGCACACCTCCTACTGGGGATGTGCCCGCAACCCAGGTACATGCCCTTGACCGGAATCGAACCTGGGACCCTTCAGTCCACAGGCCGACGCTCTATCCACTGAGCCAAACCGGTCAGGGCTGGATAAATATTTATTAAAAAAAAAATCTGGGACTTCTGGCCACGAAGAAGAACTGAATTTTATTGTAAGTTTCGCACTTTAAGCAACTTACAAAAACAGACACAATATATGAAATACTGTTTATTGTTTGTTTTTAAGACTGGGTGACAGAAATTGCAAGATGACAGTGATCCCCGAAAGAAGGGATGCAAAGGATGTTAAGTGCTAAATTTTCTCTGGCTACTGCTTGGTGAGTTTCCAGGCCCCAGTCTAGGGAGAGGAACCCAAAATAGCTTAGCTTGGAAATCTTCCTGAAATGAGAAGACAAACTTTGGAGGTGAGGGAGTCCACATCAGCTAGATTTTGTGGGTCAGAGTACAGGGGAGAGAGCTGTACAGAAGGAGCTCCAGAGATCTATGTAGGGTTCCCCTGGCTTCTGTAGATACTGATCTGTGCATGATTGTTTCCCAAGGCTTTGGAAAAAAAAAACTACTGAAAAGAACCAGGCAGAAAATCCCTAGATAGAGACCTTATAGGATTAGATATAATCTGTGTTCCCACCAGCAAGAATGGAAAGACCTTCTAATACATGGGCAGGTGCCCGGCAGGCAGGATACAGTCTTCAGGTATTGGTATTGCCTACCTAGTGGCATAAAATTAACTCTAGGACAGGGTTTCTCAACATTGGAACTACTTATATTTGGAGTCAGATGATTCTTTATTGTGGGGACTGTTTTATTATACATTGTAGAATGTTCAGCAGCAACCCTGGCCTCTACCCTTTAGGTGTGGCAATAAAAAATGTTTCCATACATTGCCAAATATCCTCTGCAGGACAAAATCATCACCAGTTGAGAAACACTGTACTAGACTAAAGGCTATCCTGGCTTTGCCTAACAATGCTCAAAAGCAACATTTGAAAGAATAAAAATGTTTCTCAAAAGTTAATGATGCCCAGAATAGAACCCAAATACATTTAAGGCATTGAAAAAAAAAATCCAGCATACAATGCAAAAGTGACAATGGCTAGCATCAAATCAAAATTTCCAGGCATGCAAAAAACAGGAAAACATAGTCCATAATGAGGAGAGACGTCAATCAATAGAAACTGACAACACAGATTGTAAAATCAGCACACAAGGAAGTTAATGCAGGTTATTTTAAATAGACTCCACACAGTCAAGAAATTGAAGAAAGCACAAGTATGAGGAGGATGTATATGGTAGATACAAAGAATACTAAATCTAAATTTCTGGAGGTGAAAATACAAATGTATGAAATGAAAAGTACCCTGGAATTTATCAACAGCAGATTAGACAATGGTAGAGAAAAGGTTAATAAACTTAAAAACACAGAAATAGTATAATCCAAAGTAAAACAAAGTAAATGGACAAAGCATATTTTACAACCATAACTGAATTAAGTTATAAATCAGGAGATATTTTTGAAAGAATAAATTAATGGGGGTCTAGATTTCTATATTTATATAACATAAAAACAAAGTTAGAAACAAATGAATTTTCCAGGTTGCCTGAAATTGGAATTGTGGGGAGGTATAAGCCAAGGTTTTGTTTAAAATTAGACAAACAAACAAACAAACAGAAACACAAGATAAAACCTGGCAGGATGAAATCATTCAGATACCTACTCTGCTTTTATTTTTGTAATTAAATGACAGGTACATTCAGCAGACTTAACATAGTAATCACAGAATGCTCAGCTCCACCACAAAGAAAACTGTATAATGCCTAGGAAAATGAAGTGGGGAGGGATGGCAGCCAGTAGAGCTGAACTAAGATTTTGAATTCCTATGTGAAGAAATAGAAAAGAAAAAAAGGGGTAGAAAAGGAGAGAAGAGAACACTTGGGGAAGGAACATAAGGTGTGAAGCACCAAGATCAATCTCTTTCCAACAGGTGGTAGGGCCTGGTTAAGGAAAAGAAGGATGACCCTTGAACTTACCTCATATAGACAGCAGGTCTGGAGGCTGCAGGGAGAGAATAAAGATTTACAAAACAATAAAACTGGCACTCATGGCTCCCCTAGCATCACTCTGCTGGATGCAGACAAGTCCTGTCCCACAGAGAGAAGACAACACTACCTGTCAGAAATACATTGCATTGTATGGGAGGAGGGAATGGACAACAGGAGAGAGTGGATGGTGTTGGGTATGAACTGGATATAATAATCTTAATCTAAAAAAAAAAAATCCAATGACTTTTTTTTTAGCCACTCCATGTAAAAATTCTATTGATATAAACAGGGGTGAGCACACTTTTTCTGCAAAGGGCCAGGTGAATATTTTAGGCTTTGGGGGCCCTATATGATCTTTGTTGCAACTACTCAGCTCAGCTCCTGTGGCACAACACCAGCAACAGAAGACGTGTCTATGAAAGGGCACAGTGGTGCTCCAACAGAGCTTCACTTACAAGTGCGCCATGGGCCAGACTCCTGATTTAGGGAATTATCTTTAAAAATAATTTTATACTCCATACCCAGTGGTATGGAAAATCAGCCAAATTATCTTTCTTTAATTTATACTTAATTATGTTGCCAAAGTAAAAACAATTTGAAATATTTGTTGATTAAAGGGAATGGTTTTCCATGAAAGACATGGGGCAATTAGTGAAGCAGGATATCCTAAAATAACTCAATGATGGTTGACAAAGTAATGGGATATAAGATATTCAAGAAAAAGTCTAGAAAAAACACCAAGACAAGGAATTCTCAAAGTAGCTGATTTATCTATATATATAAAAGCCTAAGTGATCGTTACAACCTGTCGACCGAACACTATGATGCGCACTGACCACCAGGGGGCAGACACTCAATGCAGGAGCTGCCCCCTGGTGGTCAGTGCACTCCCATAGCCAACCTCCTGCGGCTGGCTAACTTCCCGCAGTCCTTCCCCCAGGCCAACCCCTATCAGGTCTGGGCGAGATGGCCCCAATAGCTGGCCAGGCTGAGGGACCCCACCCGTGCACGAATTTGTGTACCAGGCCTCTAGTAGTTTAATAAGTATTATGGTAAAAATCAGAAGCTTTTCATGACCTAAAATTCTTCTCTTTACTCAGTTCCTATGAAAATGACAATAGGGAAAAAATTAAATTGTAAAGAGAATAACTTTAAAAAAATTCCTGATTTCATTATAATACTTTAAATAACTGAATAAAAGTTTTAATAGTTTTACCTAAGGCACTGGTAATTAGCAAAGTGGTAATATGAAGCCCATATAAAAATGAATGTCAATGAATTTACTAATTTTTACATTAAAATATCTCTCTTCCTTTCATCTAGTTCTGACCAAATTAAAATTGTGGATTAATTGAGTTGAGAAGACAATGATCTCATATTTAAATTCACAAATTATTTTCTCATGATTTGCAATACCGATAGTAAAGCCACCTGAATGCACTGCTACCACACTCTGCCTTTAATTCAGCACTTAAAATCCTATACAATAAAGAGGTAATATGCAAATTGACCATCACTCCAACACACAAGATGGTGGTCCCCAGGTGGACACAAGATGGCCACCACAAGATGGCCAGCAGGGGAGGGCAGTTGTGAGCGATCAGGCCTGCAGGGGAGAGCAGTTGGGGGCGACCAGGCCTGCAGGGGAGGGCAGTTAGGGTCAAGGCTGGCAGGGAAGGGCAGTTAGGGGCAATCGGGCCAGCAGGGGAGGGAAGTTAGGGGCAACCATGCTGGCAAGGGAGGGAAGTTAGGAGTGACCAGGCCTGCAAGGGAGGGCAGTTGGGGGCGACTAGGCCTGCAGGGGAGGGCAGTTAGGGGCGACCAGGTTGGCAGGGGAGGGCAGCTGGGGGCGACTAGGCCGGCAGGGGAGGGCTGTTAGGGGCAATTGGGCCAGCAGGGGAGTGGTTAGGGGGTGATCAGGCTGCTAGACAGAAGCGGTTAGGGGCAATCAGGCAGGTGAGCAGTTGGGAGCCAGCAGTCCTGGATTGTGAGAGGGATGTCCCATATTGGAAAGGGTGCAGGCTGGGCTGAGGGACACCCCCCCCCCTCCCCCTGTGCGTGAATTTTGTGCACTGGGCCTCTAGTCCTATATAATAAAAGGGTAATATGCAAATAGACTGGACAGCAGAACAACTGAACAACCAACCAAAGCGTAATATGCTAATGATATGCTAAGGCTGCACTCTCTATGACGTGCACTGACCACCAGGGGGCAGACAGTGGACCAGTCGACCAGTCAGTATAACGTGCACCAGGGGGCAGATGCTCCCACCGGTAGGTTAGCTTGCTGCTGGGGTCTGGCCAATCAGGACTAAGTGAGATGGGCTGGACACGCCCTGGAGTCCCCCCACTGGTCCCTCCCAGCCCGATCGTGCACAGGTGGGGTCCCTCAGACTGGCCTGCACCCTCTCACAATCTGGGACCCCTCGGGGGATGTCAGAGAGTCGGTTTCAGCCCGTTCCCGCAGGCCACTCCCCTTGGGAATGCACCAGATGCAGGGCTCATGGCTGGTGAGTGCTGCTGTGGCAGCGCGACCCTCTCCCTATCGGGACTGATTAGGTGCGAGCTCACGGCAGGCATAGTGGGGCCGGGATGAGCAGGAGCTGCAGGTAGGAGCTGCAGGCGGTGTTGGACTGCGGGTTTTGGCCTGATCCCTGTAAGCCACCCAGAGGGACCCCACCCATGCACAAATTCGTGCACTGGGCCTCTAGTCTAGTATGTAAAAATGAAACTTACAAAATAGACTGACCAGAATGTGATCATCTTTGGCTTATAGGTATTTACCAGAGTTCTTTTAACAGTGAATCTTAATAAGGCACTTGTAATTTTGATGACTCTAACTTAATTTATATACAAGAATAAATCTAGTTTGTAAATTAAATTACATTTTTATAGTCATTGCATTCTTTCTGGAAATATCACAGTAAATAAAGAGAAACCCTAGTAGGAAACTATGTAGAGCAATATTTTCTAGTTTTGTTCCGCAGTAGGATATAAAAAGTTATCATAAACATAAAGATTGGAGAATACAGTCTAACAAGCTAATGGGGCACTCACTGTGATTTGAGAAGCACAGGGAAGAGAACAGAGCATTTCTCAGTGTTGTTATACCATGGGATCCTTTGTACACAGAACACCTTGGGGGACTAGTATTTCTTGAAACACATCTTTGGAATGCTTGTGGAGCCAACTAGATTAGGGTGACTGTGAACCACTTGGAAACTATTTTCCAATCATAATGAAATTTAGAAAGTCACCTATTCTAGCTTCATAGTTTTTCCATTAAATTATAATAATGATACTGAATAATGGCATATGAAGAAACTCTGAACTTTAAATTGTATTAAAAATGTTTAAGAATATTTTGTGTCAATGCCTCAATCATACAAATTTAAAAGAAAATCTTGAGTCAGGATTCAAAAAATGTGGTAAAATGTTCAAAAGCAAGACCAGAGGATGTATGGTTGATTAGTCTGGGTTTCAGCTTGTTGAAGAATATACTGTTAATTAAAATCACCTATCAGTTATATATCTGTGTGAAAAACAGCATTTGAAAAGAAAAATGTATACTCAGTCATTTTTGAGGGTAGATGACAAACAGGAGAAGCTGACAAACTGAACATTTTTCAGTCATCTCAGAATGCAATTCAAAGTGTCACCTTGAATTCTGAACTTTTATGGGGAAATTCAACATTTTAGAATGAGAACCATGAATTTAGTAGCTTTAAGTCCACATCAGTTTTAAAATTTATTCTAGTTTTAAAATTTCCTCAGAGGTGTCCAAAGTCAGTTTATTTATATCCACATATCTATCAATTAGGAAGAGGCAACACATTTGCTTTGGGAACTCAAAAGAAAATAACTGAAATTAAAAAAGACTACATTATTATTTCCAATAGTCATACTCCATTAGCACCTCAAAAATCATGTCTTGTAATTAGCCCTTCACGTACCCCATTTTGTGGTCCCCCCTCAAATATATACTGCATGCTACTAGAAAAGACTCTTTAGAATTACAACTTGATCATATAGTTTCTCATTATTCACTGAATGAATTCTTGGCTTGATCTCTTTGTCCTTCTATTATACCCACTTGGTGGTCCCAATAACTATCAAACCTAAGGGTCCATCTTTCTCCATGCTTACACTCTGGCTGCAGAGATAAAATCACAAAACTGTTCAATCCTGTTATTTCTTGAGACAGTATTTTTAATCTTATCCACATTATCAACATCCATTATAGAACTCTTGATTCATAGAAAATAGACTCAAATATCCTCAATATTTTGCCTATCCTATATAATAAAAGCCTAATATGCTAAGTGTCTGGTTATCCGTTCAACCAATCAAAGCGTAACATGCTAAGACCACCCAACTGCTTGCTATGATGTGCACTGACCACCGGGGGCAAGACGCTCCAACCAGTAGGTTAGCTTGCTGCTGGGGTCTGGCCGATTGGGACTGAGCGAGACGGGCTGGACATGCCTTGGAGCCCTCCTGTGGTCCCTCCCCGGCTGGCCAACCTCCACATCCCTCCCCAGCTGGCCAGCCCTGATAGGCTCCAATCGGGACTGGGCGAGACAGGGCCGGACACGCCCTGGAGCCCTCCCGTGGTCCCTCTCTGGCCCCGATCGTGCACCGGTGGGGTCCCTTGGCCTGGCCTGTGCCCTCTCCCAATCCGGGACCCCGCGGGGGGTGTCGGAGAGCTGATTTCAGCCTGATCTCGCAGGCCAGGCCGAGGGACCCCACTGGTGCATGAATTCGTGTGCCGGGCCTCTAGTGAATTTATAAAGTGATTTGTGTCCTCATATATACCCCACTCTTCTTATGTTTTAGGAAAGAAGTGACCCTTATGGCCAAGGCTAATCTCGCTAATGATGCCTCATAACATCCAATAATCAATTCAGGGGCTTCATCCCAACTTTCACTGCTTTTATCTCATTTTTGTATCTTCAACCTTTCATTTTCCACTGATCTTCCTATTAGCATTTGACATTTTTTAAAAACCTGCCTTAAACAGGGCTTCCCTTTCATTACCTCCCCATCTCCTCTCCAATCATAACCATTTATAGTTTCTGTGCTAATTTCCTTCATTTCTTCTTCCTGCATGTACTCAATCATTAGGTCCCTTGCTCTGTTAGCCCACCAAAACTGCTCCCTCCCAAGTCAACTATAATTGATCTGTTATCAACAGTCCACACTGCTATTTTCTCCACTGTTGTGACATATTTCCTTTTCATCGCCCTCCCCTGGTTTCCTCTCACCTCCTGACTAATCTAATCAGTCTATTGTACACATCTTTTCTTTTCTCCATATTTTGGGGCTCTGAGATCCTAGGCTCTTCTCATTTCACCTGAATGATCTCTCCCACTCTCATGGCTTCGATGACTTGCTGATACCCAAATCTTTATCTCTAGCTCAGACTTCTCTCCTGAGCAAAAAGGCCCTATTAACTAATTGCTTTCTAAACACCTTTTCTTGGATATCTCACTGAATACCTCAAATTCCTTATGTCTAAAACCAAATACCCTTAGTGTTCTTATACCTCAGTGCAATTACTATCATTTGTCCAGATACTTAAGCCAAAAACCTGGATGTCATCCTTTATTCCTCTACTCTCTAAGATGTATTGATTCTACTTCACAGAACTTTCTCTCAAATACATCTATTCTTCTCCATTAATGTCACTATTAGGGCTCAAATTTTTTTTTTTTTTATGAACGTACAATTTGGACGAAGCTTCCCTAGGTAGCTTTATCTTTTGCCATTTTCCCATTCACCCCCTGCCCCATCCTTAATCCCTATTTTATGACTCAGCTATTTGGACAAAATTATTTAGTGTTCCAAACAAGCCTTTTTGTCACCCTGATTTTCCACAAGCATTTTGCTCTGCTGAGACACTCTCCCAACTTCTTTCTACTACTTTGGCACCCTTCCAATCTCAGCTTAGATATAACCATTTAGGAATCCTTGCCCAATTCTCCAAACCTGGGTTCAATTTCCCTCCCATGTGCTCCTACAATGCACCTCCCCCTGCAATCATAGCACTCATCTTTCCACTGGAGTTGCCTATTCACTGTTCCCCAAGAGATGATGAGCTCCGTGAAAGAACAAACCATGACTTTAACCCTTTAACCATTAAAACATATACTATCCCTCTTAAAACATAAAATACACTGTATTTGTTGGATAAATAAATGATGTCGGTCTTGTTTATCTACTTAAGTAGAAAGAGAACTTTTTGAACCTGCTACATGCCTAAGAGCATAGTGTAGGCATTCATTAAATATTGAACTAAGACTAGAATGGAATTGTATTTCTTCTTCCTCCTTTCCACGTCTACAAATATATAGCAATACAAATGTAGTAAAGTATAAATCTTAAAACTCCTATGTATTAAACTATATCTGAACAGTTAATTTTAAAATGTACAAAAATAAGACATTCATTCATGGTAGAAGCAAAACTTTCCATCAATAGAAATAGTCTATAATACATTATATACACTGAACTAGAATCTTTCTAGAAAAGTCCTATTGTTAAAAGTCTCTCAAGTCTCCACTCACTAATTATTCTATGAAAAGAAGAACACATATAAAACTAATAATGAATTTAAGTGTCATTTCCAAAAAGGCAAAAAGAAATATGAAATACCAAGTATCATGAGAAAAAAAAAATTTCAAGAAACATTTAAAAATTAGATAAATATTGTGTCAAATACAACTCTACAAAAATGTCTGATTAAAAAAAGAATGTTAAAAAATAAAGAAGGAAAGTTATCAGTAAAGGATAAATAAAACTTTAAGCAGAACAGGAAAATAGTACTAATAATTTTTAAAATGTAAAAACAAGTCTTGCTCTAATACTAATTTTCTTTTTACATAACACAAAATGATTTTGAACTTAATTTGAAAAGTAATAATTAGGCATCTTCCATCTTATTTTTCTAGGGTAACCTAATATTTAGTGCAATGAAGAATCATATTAAAATAAATTTTATACTTAGACCTTAAAAAGATACAATGGCTAAGAAGCTGAAAGGACAAAATACAGTTCTTTTGTAAAATGAATTAATGCAAACCACCTTTGGTAAACTCAAACAGCATGAAATGAGGATGGTATAAAGAATTAAAAACGAAAGACTACTTTATTCTCCACTCATGACAGTCTTTTAAAAAAATGTGTGTATATTTTTAGGTGACTTTTTTTTTTTTTAAATCACTATCAGGCTTCCCTTTTTTTCCTGACATACTATTTGTTATAATGTTATTTTTAGTTATCCTGAAGGTAGAAAACAAAGAGTATAACTTTAGATTTGATTCTTGTTTCAGAATGGGGACTAATTTTAAAATTTTAATCATTGAATTTAGTTAAAATTTTTAATCACTGCATGTTAGATATAATTGAAACAGGTATTTTAAAGTTACCTCTTTAGTTAAATAATTGACTCTAGGGGACCAGAAAATTCAAGTTTAATTACTGCTTTTAATATTTTAATGTAAGATCTTATAGTACTTTTTTCACTTATAAAAATGTTTTAAAAGGTAAAAATAAAGTCACCAATACCTCCCCAACCCCCAGAAAAATCCCCTAAAGTATACAATGTAACAATGCAATCACATGAAAAAAATCCTTAAATTTCCAGTGTAACCTGGCACTCTTTCGTGTCAAAAAAGAAATCTACAAGCACTTGTACTTGTACTTATCTTGAATTATCAATAAGCAGAGTTAGAAGTGGCTACATTAGCAACTAGTGTTCATAGCCTATTTCTGCTAGGTTCTAAGAGTAACAGTTTCCTGAGGCACCAATGTCAGGTTAGTATAACAGAGAAAAGCATATAACTGCTTGATAAAGTAATTTCAGTTTGCATTACCTTAAAATTATCTATATATGACTTTCTCCCTAGATAGGCTATGGATTATCTCTGGAAATAAATCTTTATCTTTATATCCATGCAGTCTAGTTCAGAGTCTAATAGGAATAAATCTATTCAACAAGTTTGATTTGTTGAAAAAAAAAATTTTGTTCCTTGACACTATTTAAATAAGCTGAGTATTAAAGTGGTTCACAAAGCAGTACCAAAGGGCATAATGACTTAATGGTGAATGTGAGACTGATATCCTAGAATTATTATATATGTTACAGCCTTTATTAATTTAGTAATGAGACAGAGTTTTCTTTCCACATGTCTGATCTCAAAGCTATTATCAGATGATAAACATAAATTAATCTGTAGTATAGTAAGTTTTAGATTGTTACTTGGGCATATTTATCTATCAAATTGTTTTCTGTATTTTATATTAGATTATATTAGATAAAATGCAAAAGTAGATAATATAACTTTTATATTAATGGTACATGTTTAGAGGCTTTCTATGTCTCTACTAAATATATTTTAATTTGCTTGAAATACTGGACACATTATATGTGGGGAAGTGCACTGGTACATTTAGCAGCACCTAATTTCACGAGTTTCATACTAGGTGCCAAGAAATTAGGTTGTCTATATATTTTGGAAATAAATGAAAACTCAATCAGCTGTTTCTTTACTACCCATCATCTTATACTTTACTCAAGGCACCTACAATGAAACTTTAAAATTAAGTAGAGAAAAACTTACCTACTTGGGATTTTGAATAATAGTTTGCCATTTGTCCACTGTTGCAAGACTGTCGTTTATGTCTTTTTGTAGAAATTTCTGTGGTCTTCCATGGTCTTTTTCTTTTCTTCAATTTGCTAAGAACTTCAGAGCCATCAGGAGTCTTGTCATAATTAACACATTTATTTAATTTACTACTGTCAAGTTGGCCAGGAAATTTATCAGCTGCAGGACTATTTGACTTAGCATTTTCTATTTCTTTAGATTGCTTTTTAAAAGAATTTTGCCTAGCAGAATGGGATCTTAAGGTAAAGCGCTTTGATTCTTCCATATGAGTCTGATGATTACTTCCACTGTTAACAGATTCAGGTGAGTAAATGATTGTATTTAGCTTAAAAGTATTTCTGTGTTCAAGGTAGTTGATTTTTCTCAAAAATATTCTACAATCTTTTAAGGTTTTTGACCTCCAATTACTTGGACATACATTCCCTAGTCTTGGTCCCTTTTCAAAATCTTTTTGGCTGCAATTTGTTCCATTTTCCTTTGCTTCCGACTTATATTTATTCTCTAAACTAGCATGTGTTCTAACGTCAGACACTGCCACCCTCTGTTGCAAAAAGTCATTCCTGATCTCAGGTGGCAAAATAAACTGATTACCTACTGCATTTTTTCCTTGGAGTGGGATATCAGCATTTGGTCCTCCCTCAGTCTTACTAAAAAATTGGTTCTGGCAGTAAAATCTCAGGTTCCTCTTTTTAGAGATCCAATTAACTGTTCCGTGGTTGTGCAGCTTTCCCTCTCTTCTCCACCTTTCATGTCGCAACCTCTTAAACTCAGTTCTTTTGAATCTACTTAGTGTTAAATTATTTTTCACATTTAAGAGTGGAGAGCTAACCATTTTATGCAGTATATGCAACTTCCCTGATTTTGAAGGAGAAGATAGTGCAAATTTTTTAAAGTGCTTTCGGAAGGGGCTGGTATTAAAATCAGAGTATTTGTTCCCTAATTTAATTCCTCTGGTATTTATTACTTCGAAAGGGTTTCGAGCATTTGCTTTTCTAACTAGTGAAAGAGACTGTGTTTCTGTCGTTTGCATAAACCAGGTACAGAGTTCATTCAAATCATATTTTTTCTGAAAAAGCATTTTTACAGGTGAAACTTCAAGTTCTATAAGACAGGTTTCCAAAGGGTTTGCTATTTTGAGATTATTACTTTCAGTGTCTTCCCTTTTTGTATGAACATAATTTTCAGCTTCATCTCCACTGACTTGTACCCAAGCATTTGTAATTTGCTCAAATCTATTATTTAACGCCTCTAATAAGGAATCGTTCGAAGCAGAAGCAGCCCACCACCTGAGCAAAGGGTTTGATGAAATTATAGGGTCCAAAGATACTTCAGAAATGGGTATTAATTTATCTTCCAAACATTTTTTTGCATTCCTTAAATTTCTAGCTCCTGGTGTACCTTTGGGAGCTATTTTTAACCTTGACTGCCTATTTTTTTCCTTCTGACTTTTGCCTTTCTGCAAATGGAGTTTATACGATTTATGAAGCAGAGTATTTCTATAAATAAGTGAGCTAGAAGATGCTAATGAATGTAAGAAATGCAGAGATGGTTTTCGGTCCCTAATAGAATGTCTCAAAGGTATAGCAGCAACCACACTTTTTGATCCATTCTTGAATAGGTCAGCTTCAGTATGCCTTGTATCCATCTTATTGCACTGAGAAGCATACTTTTCTTCAGGCAAACTTTTTTCCAACATAGTCTCTTGTTCTAAAGGAGGTAAACAGCTGCTAATACTCACTGCTCTCTCCTGAGGTGAAATTCTATTAATAGTTACAGATATACCAGAAATTTTCACTTTTGCAGGTCTACCAGGCTTCCTAATTATTGCCAAAGGCTTCTGATTTGGTCGAACAATGCTCTTAGAAGGTTGAGGTATCACAGACTTGTTCTTGATAGGTCTAACATATTCAAAGCCCAAGATCTCACTTTCAGTTGTCAAACTTGAAATGGCACTTATTCTTTCACCCGAGTCAAGTTCAAATTCTCTAATATTTCTGAGACTATTACATTCAGTTGGAAAATCAGTAACCTTACTGTTTAAAGATGTAACATTGCTTATGCTTACACTTCCTTCAGAAACATGCCTTTTAGTTCTTCTTGACCTTCCATAAATAACAGTTACAGTAATAGTCTTTTTATAAATACCTTCCTTTACTTCTGATAGGGGAGATTCTGGGCTTTTCTTTCCAGCACTGAAAGACTCATTTTGGCAAATGGTAATGTCTGTTTGATCAGTTTTCGGTTTGGGTGGTCTTCCAATTGGTCGCTTAATCTGTTTCACAACCTGGGGACCTATTTTTTTAGGTCTACCTGGTTTTCTTTTAAAAGATGAATCAATTGCACTGTTTGAATTTTCCATAGGTTCTTCCTGTGGCTTATCGCTAATTGTATGATCGATAAACATTTCAGAAGATTCTGCTGTTTCTGTTGCACAATTTAATTTTAGTTCTTTTTGAAGGGTGTCACTACCATTAAGATTAGAACTAACACTTTCCAAGTTAGCATTTGGAATGTCCTCATTTATTTCTGTTTTTTTTTCAATTATATGATGGTTTGGACATTTTTCAGAAGAAGGAAAATCAATGTTTGATTCAGAATTATTGACTGAAGTTAAAGTATATTTGACTCCTTCACTGCTTTTAACCTCAGATAAAAACATGAGTTTGATAGGACTAGAATAATTGGAAAAAGAGCTTTTGGTGGCTTCATATTTTGTTGGTATATTCTCAACAGAGGAAATCAAGCTACCTGTATCTAAAATAGATGACTTTTTCAGATTATCAAGTCTTTTGTTATTCAAATCTATTGGATTGCTTTGGATATTGTTGGATACTGCCACAGATTTTGATAAACTCTGCTCTTTGCATGTCATTCTACTTACAGTAAGAGTTGTATTTCCACCAGCATTTTGATCTTTACCATCAACTTCTTTCAATTTTTTGGATGCTTTATATCCTTCCAACAATGACTGATTATTCCAAGACTTCTTGGCCATATTTATTGTATCTTCCAAACGTTCCACAATAACTTGTAAATTAGAATTCATTGCAATTTTGTTTAGATCTATATTGTGTGACCTTTCAGTTTGAATACTTTTCACCTGATCTTTTTTTTTTGTAGATTCAGAAACCTTTTTGGCCTTAGGGGATTTTTTGAGAACATAATTATTTGTTACATATATAGAATACCATCCTGGAGGCACAATATTTCGTTTAGTTCTGTTCAAATGTCCAGGAACATCACATTTCAAAGAAGTTTGAGTATTTTCTAGTTTTGAATTCTCATGATTTTGCAAAAAACTTTTTCCAGCTGCAGATTTCTCCTGTGAATTTCTTATGCTCATTTTCTCAGGAATAGTTGTTTTGAAGCTTTCTGAAAATGTGTCAAAAGCCAAGTTAGTATCTAAATTATGAAGGGGTAGTTGCAAGGACTGTAATGCATAATCTGGTGAAAATGATATTTCTGCATGATTGCTGTCTTGAAGGCTTTTAGAATTTTGTAAAGAAGGCCCTTGGCAATTATAGAATTCTTCTTTGTCTGTTGAAAGTATCACATTATTGCATACCAATTTCCTTGAAAATTTTTCACTGCATTTTTTTCTTACAAAGTTTTCATCAAGACTAGCAAGTTCTCTTTTTATCTGTAAAGCCTGCCTTCTAAACATGGGTGAATCAGGAGAGTGGTGCATCGCAAATAATGTTTCTTGACGCTTTCGAAATCTTGTCTGAATAATTTTATTTTCGAGCTTTTTATCATGTTGACTCAGTAATTCCATAAAACTGTAATCACTGGCCTTTGCATTATGCAAGAGGGAAGTTATTAAATCTCTCAGTTTTAAATCATTATCTGTATTACAATCACTGCTAGATAATTTTATAAGGTTTGTCGTATCTGTAGTTTCTATTGATTTTAATTTTTCATTAATACGATCCATTAAATCTTGAAAAATTACAGTAGTTTCACCTTTTTCATGATTTGTAGTACAATTATTGCTGCCTTCCAAGAGCAAAGAATCAGAGTTACTGGATATTTTGGTTTTATGTATTTTACCTTCATGATCATCTTTGTCATTACTTATTTCTGCTGGTGTGAGGAATGGAGGTTGGTTAATGTTTGTTTCAAGTCTGTTATTTTCTAAGGCTGAAAGCTCTGAGATGACATCTTTCAATTTTTCAAATCCTTCAGTCTGTACAGGTGATAATGGTGGGGGTGAGGGACTTCGAGATCTACAAATATCTTCAAGACTAACAGAAACATCACTGAGTACTTCCCTTGATGAAAAAGGAGTATGAAAGGCGGATTTTGAAGAGTGAATGTTTGGAAACAGTCCAGAACAGCACCTGTGAGAAGTATAACTGTTTGCAATTCCTCTATTCACTACTGTCTTAATGTGTTCAATAGTTACAGTTTGGCAAGACAAACAATGTAAATCTTTAATACAGACTGGCAGAGGCACAAAACCAGGGCTTTGTCTTTCATTTTGTAAACACCCTCTTTCTGCCAGCCTATATTCACAATGACAGAATAGACCATGTATATCATCTTCAATTAGAGGCTTTTGAGATTCTGAAGACACAGTATAAGATGTATTAGAACAGCAAAGAGAAGCAGCATTCTGCTCTTGGACTAGAAATTTCAACATTGCCAAAACTTGTTGCTGGTGATGTATGCACAAAGATTCCAAAACTTTGCTTAATGCTGATTTTCCTTTTTCCATTTTAGTAGCTTCCTCTGATTTTGCATCAACAGTTGAACTAAAAATAAAAATCAAACAAAAAATGAATTACAGTAAAAATATCAATATTATAAGGAGTTATAATTTTAACAGAGTTTGAACAAAAGATATTTTGATATTGCTGGACTCCTAATTCCTATAGAGCTGCAATAATGGCATCTTGATTATTGTTTAGCAAAAATATAATGAAGCACTGATGATAATTTCCTGTGACAAATATGAGTCAAAACAAAGCCCAAATTTTGTGATATAAAAGCTGATGATTATAGATATGACTATATTTATAGATTGTTAATGTTTAGTTCTTTGAATATATTAAGAATATTTAATGGAAAGTGCTTCACCAGGAGTTAAATTTTTTGTAAACATTTTGTTATTTTGATAATTATCAGTCTTTATTACTGCAAATAAGAAAAATAAGATGTATGAGAAAAAGCTTATCTTTATTTAAATATATATTTTTTCAAGGTAATGAAAATAAAATTATTAATAAAAGCTTTGTCACAAGAAAAATTAAGGGATTTAGATTTCATAAATAACAAAATATCTTTTCTAAGATTAAGCTCCAGGCGTTTTAACCTATTAAGAAAATAAATAATTTAAGCTATTTAAAAATGAAATCTATTTTTAATTGATTTTAAATACTAAAGTAATTACATTGAAACTAAAGGCATTACTTACCTAATTATTTAATTTCAAATGGAAAATGTCCACTTCAGAAACTAATATACATCTAATTTTAGCTAAGGCTCATTATTACTTAGCAACGAATGTAGAAAGCTAAACTTTTTTTTTTAAATCCAACTACCAGCAGTAAGAAGATAAAATATATAAAAGAATTCTGTTTCAGAAAAGTATCCATTTAAATTAAACATATCACCAAACTCTACATGAAAATAGTCTCCCACTCCTGACTTGTTATATTTGTTAGTGCTAGTAGCTCCTGGTTTGTAAAAATTTAGGGTTGGAATTGGGATATGCTGATTATGAATTGCTACAGAAGAATGTATTTTATTTAATAAAGGGTTATGTTCATGTATATTAAAAATTAGAGAATTTTTCTTTTAAAATGAAAAGTGAATTTTTTTATTTCGTTCCCTAAATATCACTTAATTTGTTTCACAGTTAAGTATGCAATATTTTATCTACATTTTATAAAAATTGTTATTTGAATAGGAAAAATACCAAAGCAAATTTTGAACATTAGATCAATTTTTTTCAAGGAAAAACGACAACACTTTACTAGATTCAACCAATATTTCACTAAAACTAGCATATGATTTAACATAAAGTAGTTATCAAAGTGAGAATAGAAATGAAATTACAATAAAACTTCTTAAATCCACTGCCACCTCTAGACAGATGAAAACAGGACATGACCCCTGTAACTTTTCCTTTCTGAAAATAAATTTTCATAAGTTTTATCATGGCTGGGAGTGTAAAATGATGCAACTAACTCCCAAGATTCAATATTAGATCATTTAAAAAATATATGTAGGGAATAAAGGCGGGAGGAAATGTTAGCTATCAAATATAAATATAAAAATAAAATTATGCTCTTTTTCAGCAAATTAAACATTATAATTTTCACATAAGCAAATGAAAACCCAGAAAAGTTCTGATAAGCACGATTCAACAGTTTCTTTAGTTATGTTATGGCCTATTAAACATATCTGTGACTAACCAGTTAAACAGAGATTTGACATGGTTCTAAAGAAAATACATTACACTGTATTTTAAGGATTAATATGCTTGCCTAACAGTTCCTGAAGTGCTTAAGTGATTTTTTCTATTAGTAAAGCCAAGTAAAATAATAAAAACCAATGACTAGTGTTAACTATTCTGAGTTGCAATAATCTTGAAAACCACCACAAGATTTTTATATTTCTCTTCTGACATTCTAAGGATATCTATCTTTTAAAAGAGTTTCTTATTCAGTTTATTACTTCTATTAATGACATTTAAAAAATACCACAGTGGCTAGTAATTTCCACCTAATGCTATATGAAGAATAGCTTAATAAAGTTCCTAATTAGATATTCAGATTAGATTAGATTCAGTTATTAGATAACTAAGTTCTCAAATCATAAAACTACACAATATGCTTGTCTTCAAAATTCTTTTCCATATTTAATGCATGTTAAAATCTCAAAACCCAATATATGAAACCTAATATAAAAAATAGTTGAATACACATACGTCTACAATCTAGAATTTATTCCCAAATGATTACATAAAGGTTCTAAGATTGTACCTTTCATAGATGCCTTTTTTTGAATGCTAAGAAAGTTTCAAACCTTTTCCTATTTGATTTAGAAACCAAAACACCCTGCCTATTCTTTTTATGTTACTATCCGTTTTGCCCATTACAAGTTTTGTTGTTGAGATAGTTTTGGAGAAAGTCAATTTCTAATATTTAATATTAATAAAATTGCTTCCTAAAATGATTAAAGAAGTCAGTGTAGTCAGTCTTTTTCTTTGCTTTTCTTTTTTTTCTTTTACTGAATGAGTAAATCAATCACACACAAACAGTGTTGTAAATTTAAGTGCAAAAGCATTGAAGTGCTTTACTACAAATTACAACCTAGAAACACGTTAACTGAACAATTAAAATTCATACAATCAGATTTAGATATATAACAACACAAAGTAGGAACAGAATTACAGTACATTACAACACAAGACAGATACATGAATTCATTAGAAAATATTGTAATAAATAATTCATGAATTATAGTGCAATTGATTTATGCATAAATATAACTAATTGCCTAACAATCAGTTTATATTAACAAAATCTGTCAAAATCAAGGCAGCACAGAGTTTTACTAAATTACTGCGACAATGAAAATACTGCAATTAAAAAACAAATACAAGTATTTGTACTGTAAACTAAAAAAATCAGTCTCACTAAAGTTAGTATACAATTTAATATAAAATTGTCATTAGCTACCAGAAGTGGTTTAAACAACTTTACTGAACAGTAGTTTTCTAAAAACAGAGGCACTGTTTTTTTCTTTTCCTTCTTTTTTTTTTTTAAATATAAAATACTTGAGGAACATTCAAATAAGTAGAAAGCACATAAGGTTTGCTTTCACCTTCATTAAAAGTCTGCTGAAACTGGATATTTCAGAAAATTGTCAACTGATAAATAGTAACTGGTAACTAAATTCATAAAGTACTTTGAAAGTTTAACATAAAGAACATCTTAATAGAATCACTGGGGAGAAGGGGAACCCATAAATTTCCCTGCCTTTCCTAGTTTGTATAATCAAAAGTTAACTCAATAATTAGAAACACTTTGTTTCTTTTAAAAGTCATGGGTTATTACCTATAAACTATCAAAAAATATTTAATTTACTATTTCTGACCAAAAATAAATAATACAAGTACTAAAATGCTGCAAATTAACTATAATATTACCTATAAAACTACTGATCACTGTGAAGTCAATAGCAAAATGATCCCTGATTTTATGAATCCTGTAAAGTTTTTGGTCAGGTCATCTTTTAAATGATATAAAAGAGTTCTGTTAAGTATCCCTTTACTATAAACTTCTCAATCAATTTGTTAATGTAAATATACTGTGAGGAATAAAAAAGCTCAATACAATACAAATATTATGTAATGCATTCAAGCCCCCAAATTTTTGCAAGTAAAATTCTGTATAAAGAGGTCAATAAAATTGTGTTAAAACATTACTTTATCTTTAACTTTGTTTTTTAGTGGGAAGAGGGGTAATAGATTAAATAATCCAAGTTCTGGCCCTCACAAAATATGGCTTAATTCTTTAAAAAGTAAGATGACCCTGACATCTGCTGTTTTGCAATCTATTATGTATACTTTCTTGGAAAAGAAAAGAGCAAGAGGATTCATCATACCCTACTATGCAGGTAACATTAATAGCTAAAGAGTGTTCAGTGTAGATCTAAGAGACCAAATAACTACTTGTTTAGTTCCCACTCTTCAGTTTCTTAAAACATATGTAAGCAGTTTTTAAATGTTATAGCTGAAAATCTCTTTAGTATTACATGTATATGTGATTATTAGATACACACAAACACAAGTGTAAAAACACAAGTATTTGACAAGGTGCACTTTTTTTTAAATTCAGCTTTTGGATTTACAAAAAGTGGCTTAGAGAAATGATTAAAACCTGAATTTTAACAGAGAAAAGGGGCACTCAGAGAATTTTGAATATATGAAGCAAATCCCCATTCTTTAAATGGAGGCACATGCTTTATAATATAATATTTTACTACTAAAACGGCATACTCCATAAAACCAACATGGATACTCTGAACCACATTTTTAAACTGCTATATAAAAATTACTGGTCTCTCTATGAGTCTGGTAAAAGTTAAAATGCACTGCCCAGCTTCTAACTACCCAATTAGTAGAGTTTACATTACTGAAAGTTCAAAACAGCTTCAGTGTTAAATATCTGTAAATCTATTCAAAACCCTGAACAAACTGCAAATTTGGTTATTAGCAAAATGATGTTTCGCCCACCAAAATGAAATCTGTAATTCATTTTGATAAACTGAAAATGTTTTGAAATGTCACAGCAGCAAATATATTAAAGTTACACTGAGGTTTTTCAATAGTAGGAGTGTGTCACAATCCTTAAAATTTAAAGTAGTCATAACATCAACTAACCAGCACATTTAAACCAAAATTATCATTCTCAAGCTTTTTCTGTGCACATTATAAACATGCTCTAAGTTGCATTCCAACTTTCTTTTCTAACCTTACAAATTAGCTTATTTTTCAAATAAAAAACAAAATTAAATTATTTTAATAATTAAATTTAAATTACTTTTTGTTCTTAGTATTCCACCTTATATTAAAGAATTCTATAGCTGCTGGGGTTAACCATGTGTCAGTTTTTAAAAAAAGCATATATCTTATAAACCCCAGCATCTTGCTAAATCAACTATTAAATGATAAATATTGAATTTCATTATATATATAATTTAAGGTTTTCTTTTCAATTCCTGGTGGATGCACTTGAGTGCATTTCATATTTCATAGAATGCACTACAGTGTACTAATACTGTATATATTAATTTTTCTTAGTATGAAGATAGGTCTCTATTTAACTTTGATTGGTTGTTTGACATACTTACAATAACTGTAAGTATGTTATATTAAAATGTCTACAAACGATTAGTATCATCTTTCCATTATAAGATGGTTCAACTGAATGGCTGGAGTGGTCTTTCACCAATAAAAATGTTTCACTTGACAATTACTTGTTTTCCCACAACGCTTTATGCTATTGACTACTAAAGAAAACCTGAATCTTTTTCACCTATTTATACAAGGATTAAATACAAACTATCAGAAGTAAGCAACTATATAATCTGTCCACAGTGAAAACCCTGAATAAAACTTTTTTTCAAAAGGCATGTAAGTGGTTTTTGAACTGTAAAATTTCATGTCTCCTGTCAGAGTGAGCATCTGTATTTCCCACATGTGTGTATATAGACATACAAATACACACTTGTGCACACACACACACGCAAACACACACACACAAACACACACACACACACACACATTTTCCTAACAAGTAATCTACACAGGCTTGCTGCTGTTTTTGCAGCTGCCAGTCCCTGAATCTGTCATATTATATAACCCAGTGTCTGGTAATCGGAGTTTCTTCTTCGGAGGAGTCTTCAGTGTTCCAGATCTTTCTTTTACCTTGTATTCTAAAGTGCTGTGAGGTACCCCATAAATTCCTTGTGCTTTGGAAACACTCATTTTTCCGCTCATTACCATTGCAATAGCCTCTTCCATTATTTCATGATCATATTGCCGATAACGGCCACGTTTTTTCCTGGGCTGCTTATTATCTTTTCGATCCAATCCATCTTCAGTATTTTCAGAGGTTCCATCAACTGTTCCATTTTTAGAATTAAGACACAAAGGAGAGAGGTCCCCATGTATAAAATAAGAGTCAACACTTGAGTGAGTTATGGGCCCAGAACATTCTATTTTGTTCTGTTTAGGGAGTATATTTTTCAGTTTTTGGAGAGCTGATCCTTCAAGGACGGGAGAGGTTTTGGAAACTTGATACACAACATCCAGCAGACCAGGACCATCAGGTTGTGGTTTTGAAACAGAGCTTACTCGTAGCTGAGGAATTTTTAACTGTACAGTAGAATGTGAAGTTTCATATTGTAGGCTTTCATTTTTTTCTTTAAATTGAGTAACCATTTTCTGTAGAGTTAACTGATGGAGGTAACTGGAAGCTGTTGGGAATTTTAATTCTGAGGTTTCAAGTAGATTGAGTTTACTTTTTTCTGTGCGCTCTGCTTGAGCTCTTGCCCACAAGGCTACTTTCTGCAGCACTGCACAAGTTTCTTTACTGTCTTTATATGAATAACTATCATTGAAATCTCGAGTTTTGTTTTTAAAAGATGCAGGCTTCCCTGCTGGTAAGGCTTCTAAGTGGAGAAGTAAAGTTTTTTGAGGTATGCCATAAAGTATGCCTGCTTTATTTATGTCCAGTGCTCCAGACTGAATGTCTTTCAAAGCTTTTGAGAGCAAACCATCTGCAAACTCAGCACTTCTTTCCACATAGTCCTCTCTGTTTCTGTGTAGTCTCCTGGATGGATGGAATGAAACGATGGTAAACTGATGCATGAGAGACTCTCACACAGCTATGGAAGGGGAGGGTCCACTCCTTTATTATACTCCTTGCTTAGGTAACATCACTGCTTATACACTTTTAAGTCTGTGAGATGTAGTAGTTACTCCTTATCAAAGCAAACGCTACAGTCCTGGTAGGACAATGTGTCAATCATACGGTGGCCTCAACAGGCAGACCTTCCAAGAACATAAAATCCTAATTCAGTATTTGTAAAAATATTCTCATGATGTTGCTATTCCTGACAGATGCTTGCAGAGCAACACTTAGATTTTTTACTTGTACAATTAGAGATCCATTATAAAAAAAAACCCAACCCAAATCCTAAAGGAGTTTTTGTTAGTAGAAACGTGACGTTACCACTAAACAAGTAATAAAAGAGTCAACCCCTTTAAAGGAAATTTGTAGCAGTAAGAATACTTCCAAACACAATATCTCATATTTCCACAAGACCCATTTTTCTCTAGACAAAAACTTACAATTGGAAACAAGTAGATAAGTTATATTTGGGTAAAATAATTTTAGATTTTGTAAATGTTTTTTTTTCTATTTCCAATGTATCATTGTAATTTCAAAGTTTCTCAAACAGAAAGCTTAATTTACCTCATGATTCAAAACCTACTACAGCTTTAGTTTAAACAAATTACACTCTACATCTAAGATTTAAATGTGACAAAAAAGCTTTCTGTGTAGTTTGTTAATGGGAAGATGCAAGTTACAAAAAAATCCAAAAATCCAACAGAACAGCATTTCACTACTAATTACTTATTAATTTAGTAACAGATTTTAATCAAAGCATAGAAGGACTTTTTGTGGTGATTACTAGATATATTACATAGTCTGCCACCACGCCTAAAGCATAATGGAAAAAAACACAAACACTATAAACTAACTATAAGAATTAGTAAGTACAGTACTTTTAAAATTTATTGTTTTAAAAAATTAAATAGTGAAATTACATATTTCCCTTAAATTTGCCTCCTGAATATGGAATTTAAATCCTCTTTACTTGTCCTGCTTCTTAGTTTGTATTCTATGGTTAAGTTGGTAGTTCATTTTAGTAACATGAACTAAAGTTTGGTGATTGTTCTGATAACTTTTCTTTAACAGAAAGAATAAAAAAGAAAGAGAAAGGACAAAATGGAAGGTATGAGAGACAAACACTTATGAGTGACAAAGCCTCTGGAGGAAACTATATATGTCAATCTACTCAGAGTAGCATTACGAGTTCTCTGCAGAGATAATTTTATATTAATATTAAGTTATATTTCCTGGATATTGCTTACCCAGCCATTGAATTTTCAGAAGGATCACATATGGATGACTCTTCAGATTTTATGCTGATTTTCTTTGTAGAGAGATCTAACACTCCATCCCCTATAATTTTTGCAAGAGAAAAAACTTTATATTTGTAACAGATTAATGAAACAAACAGGCTATGATATAAAACCTGTTTAAAATCAACCCTTTGTCACCTTTCCCACTGTTTGCAGTGCACAGCCATCTGACTGCTCATCCATGACTGTTTCTATTCAAGGCTGCCCAGATGATGCTTTGGGAAAGTAGGAATGATGTCAATTGCACAAAAGAGAGCATAGAAAATATGATAATAAGTAAGAACAATAATTAGCATTTATTAGAACTAACAATATGTGGAACATATACTTTAGGTAAACTGTGACTCTGCATAACCAGTGTGTTTTTAGAAATTACAGTGTAAAATTTTACTATTTTAAACAACTGAAATGAACAACAGTTGAGTCAGTGCCTATATAATATGTCATGGTTATATACGTGATTGAATGAAGACATAACTTATAACAATATAACACTTTAGGAAAAATAGCAGCTAGAAAACACTGCCTAAGTATTTGTTATTAAAAGATAGTTATTTTTAATTACTGTTATAATATTGAATTTACATAAGTAAGATTTCAACGATTCAGATATACTGTAATAGGACAACTTCAGGATCAAGGAGAATAAAAATAAACTATGAATTTATAACACATCAATAAATAATATTGTTAATACTACTATATCTTTACTGACAGCTAAAAATTGAAAATTTAAACTGTAAGAAAGGAGTCATTATAAAAAACATATGCTTAAAAATATACTCAAAAATACTGCTGGGTTTTTAAAAAACAATCAAGTGGGTTTTACTATTATTATACAAATCTACGTAATACTTACGTGCCCTAGGGCAAGACACAAAGATGAAAAAAATAAGAACATATCTCACCCATAACATACTATGCATAATTAAATAATAATTTTATTGAGTGCTTAGTATGTGCAAAGCACTATTTTAAGAATTTGGAGAGCAGCAGTAAAAATGGCATACAAAGTACCTATTCTCATGGTGCTTAGGACCTAGTGAGATAAGTCATACATACACCACCCCATCACCACCCAACATATTTTAGATTGAGGATAAGGGCTCCTTAAAAGCAAACAAAGAAGAGTAAGCTGATATTTTTCTGGCTTCAAGGATTGACAATAATTTCCTTAACTTGTGTTAATAAAAGCTACTTGTTTTATCTTTTTGAGTCAAACACTTATTTGGTATCCTCTATAAGCATTTAAAATGCCCTTGCCCCCTTTCCTCTGTAAATTATGGCTCTTCTTTCAATCAACTATTAGATAAATCCAATATAGCTCTCATCATTCAGGCTCTTATGAAAAACAGATCTCTATATAGTTAAGTACAAGATTACATTATATTTATCACATATATTACCTTTTCTTTTTCCCCAGTTACATCAACAATTGAAGATAAATCAATTTCTTTTTGTTTTTCAACTAAGTGTAAAAAACTGAATAGGAAGTGTTTACTAAATGTTCTCAGCTGTATATTTTTTAAAAATAATTTTTATCATATACATCTCTTTATTGTATACTTTGCTTTTAAGTTGCTTTTTAGGATTCTCTCACCATATACTTTATTGTGAAAAGAGATTGAGAGCAACTCAAATTTCTTTTTTTATAAACAAAAGTCAAATGCAATACAAAAGCTCAAATTTAGCACTTCTTGCTAGTCCATATTAGGCTAATCACAAGTAATATTATTTCTAAAGTTTATCTATAAATATAACATTACATATATTTAAGAATATTAAAACATAAAATTATATATTACACAAACAAAAAAGTCTTACCTTGCTGAGTATTTTGTTCTTGCATTCGATTCACAGTGAGGTCTAAGGGGCCTTCCTGTTCTTCCTGAAGGGAGTTTTCTGCTTGGTTCATTTGGATACTTTTACATATTAGACTTGGTCCAATTGAACCATTTCTATTCTCTTGAATTTTACCACTTTTTGAAATATACTCAATTGCAAACTGACGTATCATCTTTTTCATTAATTCCTGAGCAACTAGGGGAATGTTAGGATCACAGTTCTGAGGAAGATCTAGAGAAGAAAATAAGTATAATAAGCATTAAAAACTGAAATGCAAAATACCAATATTTAAACTTATCATATTTTTATTACAAATTAATAATTTCAGAAGTCTTTTTAGTGTCAGTCTGTAACTGCTAATGGTTCCTAGGACTTTGCAATAGAAACCCTGTAGATTTAATTAGTATTATGATAACAACTTCAAACTTGGCACATTTAACCATTTCTTCAAAATAACATTTTTGTTCACAAACTAAAATATAAGTAAGAAATTAAGACATAGAAAGCTCAGTAATATGTCCAATTTTTAGAGTTTTAAATGTGTTCTACTAGATATTAAAACACTTAAGTATGTGAATATAAACTATATATAACCAAATAAATTTTAACTTAATATACTAAGTGCATGCATTAACTATTAAAGAAAACATCTAAACTTTCATGATTGTTAATTACTATTTAATTCTTCAATTCTGTCAAATATGCATTTCTTATACAGTTTAAATGTCATCATCAAGGATTTATTTTTCTTTTTAAATATATTTTTATTGATTTCAGAGAGAAAGGGAGAGAGAAAAACATCAATGATGAGAGAGAATCATTGATCGGCTGCATCCTGCATGCACTTTTCTAGGGATCGAGCCCACAACCCCAGCATGTGCCCTTGACCGGAATCAAACCCGGGACCCTTCAGTCCACAGGCCGACGCTCTATTCACTGAGGCAAGCTGATTAGGGCTGAATTTTTTTTTCTTCCCTCAACATTTTATACTTAGAAATTTAAATCAGAAACAATAAAATAAAGAACAGTACAATCACACAGACAGCCTTGACAAAGTTTCAAGAATTGTTAGCATTCTGCCACACTCACTTTCTTTTAACTTTTTTTGGTTTGCAGAACTACTAAAAATTGTAGAATTATGACATTTCACTCCTCCATGTTTCAGCAAACATATACTAAGATTCTCCTATAAAAATGGCAATATCATTATTAAGTGCCTTAATTAATCCTTGATCCCCAAACATATTGATCAGCTACAACTATAATGATCAGCAATGATCTTCAGTTCTACTTGAAACTTGTACAAGAGGTCAAAACAGTTGAATGATTTTAGTGAGAGGTACAGCATAAGGACAGACGAGTTATGAACACAGCATATAATAGTGATAAAGTTTTGGTATTGGGGAGGGGGGTTGTTGGTGGCTTTTCACATATACTTCCGGCCTCAATCCAATGCTTTTATTTACTCTGTTCCTTCAAAGGTAGAATGACTGGTAAATTGGAAAGTATGATTATACTTGGTTAGGCTCCACAGAAGTGGTCCTACTTCTTGAGATACTAGTAACTAGTTCAATGCTCCTTAAATGCCTCAACTCTTACCCAGGCAGATCAGTGTTATGTTAATAGGTCTGCATTGATCCAGGGCTGTTTGAGACAGAAGGGTCAACTCTCTTTAGTTTGAGGGTTCAGTATTAGCTGGAGAACTTGCCTAAGACATGTGAAGGCAAGTCTTTGAACTAACATTTATTGTTACAGATCCCGGATTCTAAAATGCAAGAATGTTTGAAAACATACTATTTGGAGGTGAGAAGAGGCAACAAACACCTCCACTATGATCAATTCCATATTTGGTAGCAAAAAGTGACCTATGATAGCATGAATCTATTTATGGTCCTTGCAGAAATAGAAATATATTTGATCAATGGTGCTGAACCAGCTGGAGATGTTACATAATAAACATTTCCATTATATTACATCTTTAAAAAATATTTTAAAATTCAGAAGAAACATCTGAGAAAAGGGACTGTGGGCCTATTTTAAAAAGTTAACATTTTAACCTTTACATTTATTCTTTGACCCAGTAGGAAAGAGAGGCAGTATTGGTTTGGGGGTACTGGAGAAAAATAGACTTAGCTTATCTCCATTTTATAGTTTCTTTGTTCATAAAAATGGAAATAACAGAACCTTGAAAATCATAATAGGACTTGTTCACAGCATTTTTTTTAAAATATATATTTTATTGATTTTTTACAGAGAGGAAGGGAGAGGAATAAAGAGTTAGAAACATCGATCAGCTGCCTCCTGCACACGCCCTACTGCGGATGTGTCCGCAACCAAGGTACATGCCCTTGACCGGAATCAAACCTGGGACCCTTCAGTCTGCAGGCCGATGCTCTATCCACTGAGCCAAACCAGTCAGGGCGCTCACAACATATTTTAAGATTATATGAGATTGCAGATCAAATACTTGACATTTTTACAGTGTGGTAAACATTAGCTCTTAATTATAGTGGAAATAACAAGATAAAAAGATGCAAGCTAAGCAATTATATTTTATTTAAATCACAAGATGTCAAATAAGTAAAAATATTAAGGCAAATATAAAATTATTAACTTGGAAAATAAAAAGGACATAATATCTAAGCCCATGTGATATTTTTTGGTATAGCCCAGTGGTCAGCAGACTGCGGCTCGCGAGCCACATGCGGCTCTTTGGCCCATTGAGTGTGGCTCTTCCACAAAATACTACCTGCGGGCGCACACCCACGAAGTTTCAATCGCACTGTACGTGTGTGCCCGCAGGTAGTATTTTGTGGAAGAGCCACACTCAATGGGCCAAAGAGCCGCATGTGGCTCGCGAGCCGCAGTCTGCTGACCACTGGGCTATACCAAAAAATATCACATGGGCTTAGATATTATGTCCTTTTTATTTTCCAAGTTAATAATTTTATATTTGCCTTAATATTTTTACTTATTTGACATCTTGTGATTTAAATAAAATATAATTGCTTAGCTTGCATCTTTTTATCTTGTTATTTCCACTATAATTAAGAGCTAATGTTTACCACACTGTAAAAATGTCAAGTATTTGATCTGCAATCTCATATAATCTTAAAATATGTTGTGAGCGCCCTGACTGGTTTGGCTCAGTGGATAGAGCATCGGCCTGCAGACTGAAGGGTCCCAGGTTTGATTCCGGTCAAGGGCATGTACCTTGGTTGCGGACACATCCGCAGTAGGGCGTGTGCAGGAGGCAGCTGATCGATGTTTCTAACTCTTTATTCCTCTCCCTTCCTCTCTGTAAAAAATCAATAAAATATATATTTTAAAAAAAATGCTGTGAACAAGTCCTATTATGATTTTCAAGGTTCTGTTATTTCCATTTTTATGAACAAAGAAACTATAAAATGGAGATAAGCTAAGTCTATTTTTCTCCAGTACCCCCAAACCAATACTGCCTCTCTTTCCTACTGGGTCAAAGAATAAATGTAAAGGTTAAAATGTTAACTTTTTAAAATAGGCCCACAGTCCCTTTTCTCAGATGTTTCTTCTGAATTTTAAAATATTTTTTAAAGATGTAATATAATGGAAATGTTTATTATGTAACATCTCCAGCTGGTTCAGCACCATTGATCAAATATATTTCTATTTCTGCAAGGACCATAAATAGATTCATGCTATCATAGGTCACTTTTTGCTACCAAATATGGAATTGATCATAGTGGAGGTGTTTGTTGCCTCTTCTCACCTCCAAATAGTATGTTTTCAAACATTCTTGCATTTTAGAATCCGGGATCTGTAACAATAAATGTTAGTTCAAAGACTTGCCTTCACATGTCTTAGGCAAGTTCTCCAGCTAATACTGAACCCTCAAACTAAAGAGAGTTGACCCTTCTGTCTCAAACAGCCCTGGATCAATGCAGACCTATTAACATAACACTGATCTGCCTGGGTAAGAGTTGAGGCATTTAAGGAGCATTGAACTAGTTACTAGTATCTCAAGAAGTAGGACCACTTCTGTGGAGCCTAACCAAGTATAATCATACTTTCCAATTTACCAGTCATTCTACCTTTGAAGGAACAGAGTAAATAAAAGCATTGGATTGAGGCCGGAAGTATATGTGAAAAGCCACCAACAACCCCCCTCCCCAATACCAAAACTTTATCACTATTATATGCTGTGTTCATAACTCGTCTGTCCTTATGCTGTACCTCTCACTAAAATCATTCAACTGTTTTGACCTCTTGTACAAGTTTCAAGTAGAACTGAAGATCATTGCTGATCATTATAGTTGTAGCTGATCAATATGTTTGGGGATCAAGGATTAATTAAGGCACTTAATAATGATATTGCCATTTTTATAGGAGAATCTTAGTATATGTTTGCTGAAACATGGAGGAGTGAAATGTCATAATTCTACAATTTTTAGTAGTTCTGCAAACCAAAAAAAGTTAAAAGAAAGTGAGTGTGGCAGAATGCTAACAATTCTTGAAACTTTGTCAAGGCTGTCTGTGTGATTGTACTGTTCTTTATTTTATTGTTTCTGATTTAAATTTCTAAGTATAAAATGTTGAGGGAAGAAAAAAAAATCCAGCCCTAATCAGCTTGCCTCAGTGAATAGAGCGTCGGCCTGCGGACTGAAGGGTCCCGGGTTTGATTCCGGTCAAGGGCACATGCTGGGGTTGTGGGCTCGATCCCTAGAAAAGTGCATGCAGGATGCAGCCGATCAATGATTCTCTCTCATCATTGATGTTTTTCTCTCTCCCTTTCTCTCTGAAATCAATAAAAATATATTTAAAAAGAAAAATAAATCCTTGATGATGACATTTAAACTGTATAAGAAATGCATATTTGACAGAATTGAAGAATTAAATAGTAATTAACAATCATGAAAGTTTAGATGTTTTCTTTAATAGTTAATGCATGCACTTAGTATATTAAGTTAAAATTTATTTGGTTATATATAGTTTATATTCACATACTTAAGTGTTTTAATATCTAGTAGAACACATTTAAAACTCTAAAAATTGGACATATTACTGAGCTTTCTATGTCTTAATTTCTTACTTATATTTTAGTTTGTGAACAAAAATGTTATTTTGAAGAAATGGTTAAATGTGCCAAGTTTGAAGTTGTTATCATAATACTAATTAAATCTACAGGGTTTCTATTGCAAAGTCCTAGGAACCATTAGCAGTTACAGACTGACACTAAAAAGACTTCTGAAATT